ACTCGACAAGTGGATTTTGAGGCCTCTTATGATGATCGGACATGACGAAAGTGCTGTAAATACCGAGTAAAATGGATGTTGTCTTAACATGGCTAAGAGCAAGTGTAGTTGGTAGGGGGGGGCGCCTACTACTACTACTACTACTACTACTACTACTGCTACTACTACTGCCACCACCACAAGTTAGTGCTACTACTACGACTACTTAGTGACTACTCCTCCTCACAGCTTCAAGCAAACCACCATCCCAAGCCCCAATCGCCTTCTTGCCAGCAAAGTGGAGGCCCATGATCATGGTAAAATCTGCTGATTGAAGGCCATCTTTCACAGAGTAGTCTTCTGCCACGGCGTCACAAATCCAGTTCGTCATCACACCTTCCTGATATCTGCAGCACTCCTCGGTGGCATCGAAGGGGCTCTTGATTTGGCAGATCACCTGCTTGAACTTGTTGTCCCGAATCCGCGAGTACTTGTCCACCAGCTCCTGCAGAACGGGATCGCACTCCACGTCCGAGTCCTCGGCGCGGTGCTGCGATGCCCCTCCGAGAAACTCTCTTCTTTCTTTCTTTAGGTCTGCTGTTTGGGCGTACCTTGCTTTCAGGAGCTGAAGTCCACGTTTTTTGAAAGGATTGCGACATCAGGCGAAGTGAAGCGTATCTGTGCTGCCAAGGCCTCGACTCTTCATTTGGAGCATTCAGCCCCCGACTGAATCCAAACACTACCTAAGACCATGACATTATTTACTGTCACTCATGCTTTCGTCTAACTAGAACTCTAGCTAGTCTATTACTATTGACCATTGCAATTGCCAGCTCATCCTCCCATTGACATGATTGCTTTAGGCATGTTCAGATGTGAGAGGAGTGCCAGGTGTCCACGTCGTAGCGCTCGACGGCCAGCTTCTTCACTGTCTCCCCCATCACGTGCAGGGTTGTGTGTGTCAGCCAACGCCACTCCTTGCCAGAGTTCGCTTCCCAAAGAGGTGGAACATGGTATGCTGGTATGCTTCCAGACTTGTCTCGTACGGCACCGTGAACTCCAATAGTCCCTCCGATTTCGGCACATCCCTCAGTCGCGCCTCACCGGACTTGATCACGCGGTGCTTCTTATCCTCCCAGAAAGGCTTGTCTGCCGAGGATTCGTGACGAGACTTTGGGTTTGGCGCTGGTCAAACCTTCGAAAACACGAGTGCTCCAAGTTAAATCCGGCGGGGCTCCAGCTCATCCTAGGTGGTCTGGTATTGAGGCCTATGGCTTCGGACCTTAATTCGGCACGTGGGCCTTGCGGGTTCTGTTCCAAGACATCCAAGGGGATCACAAAAACGAACAGTGGGAACCGTTTCAGACACCCCCACTAGAGCCTCGATAGGATCTTCAATCTACAAGGACCCCCAAGCACGGTGGGCTCCCCAGCGGGATCGTCACTTTTTCAAAATACCGCTAAGCTTAGCTTGCAACGCTCCGCACGTTTGTAGAAGTGGTCGTGGCCACCGAGGAGGAGGTCGATCTCAGGGACGGCCTGGGAAATCTCGTTACGCAATAGGCCACTGTAGGGTTTTCTGGGTTTGGTGCAGTTTTCCTTTAGGGTTGAGGGTTGCGGGTTTGGGGGTCGAGGGCTTTTGTTGGGTTTACGGTTGAGGATTGTGAGATTCGGGTTCAAGGAAAGATTCCAGAGAAGATAAGGTGAGAGATTCGCCGGCTCAAGCACAAGCATTGACGCACATGGGATGCGTGATATGTGCATGACAGTCATACGGAGGCGTCGAAATTCAGGCTCCGACCGTGGAGTAGTAAAGCTTTCAACTACGAACTGAAGTTCCGTCAGTGTTGAGATGACACAATAGCAGCAGCCCAAGTTGATGACCGAAAGTCCCGAAGCTAGAGCCCGAGAAAGCATCCTCCTCCTCCACATGTCGTCATCCTCGCAATCATGGCCGGCATGATCATCACCAGCACCCCCAATCACCAACGTCCACCAGCAAGACTTTTCATCATCGTACTGTTACTGTCTCCGTCCGCAGACAGCAGAGCACAGCAGGGCACCTCGGTCAGTACTCTGTCGTTATCGAAGCGGTTGTGTGTCAGGGCAACCACGACCTGGCGCGCTCGGACTGTCGGCCTTCGAGGCGCATCGCAGGCCAGGAGGCTTCGGGACCGCGCCTGGGCCCCCTCAAGCTTCATCTTCCGGGCATACTCACGGCCCGTCTCGATGTGATCCTGCGATCGTCGATGAAAAAGAACCCCATCGCAAGAGAAGGACACGAAGAAGAACCGAAAACTACACTGCCAACAGCAACTCATGCAATCACAGCAGTCAGACTCGCCACGACATCAACTCCACGAAGACTGTTCCTCAGAATGCCAAGTATCGGATGTCAACGAGGCTTCAAGCTCCTGTGGGAACCTTCCCAAAGGAAGACGGGAAGGTCCTTGTAGACGATTTCCCCCTCCCGCAACTGCGAGCAGCCGGCCAACCAGTCCTCCACAAGTTCCCGAGGTCCGAGGTCTCACAATTTAGGGTTCTCAGGCGGCTCTCAGGGCAGCCTTCTTGAAGCCTCTCTTGGAACCCCTCTCTTACACTTTCGCTCATGTTTAGCTACACGTGCGGACACATAGACAGAGATGGACCTGGACGTACACGAGCCAAGGCCGACAGTTGCAAGCATGAAGAGCGGACATCACAAGAACTCGCCCTCGCTACTCGCGACAGAAATCAAGAAAACCGACTGCAACAAACATCACTTTGCAGCCTCGGAGAGGCCCATGAGCCCGACCTTCACGCCGTTGACCTCTTGGGATCCCATAGCGGAGGAGCTTCACTCAACACAGAATAGGGCCGGGACTCGAGGAACTAAAGGCCCCAAAGCATTACATCATCAAATTTAAATTAGGAAGAAGCTGTTGAGATGAAGCTTTGGGCCTGCGTCAAGGCTTTGGGTTTAGGGCCTTCTAGCGTGGGCGCGTCGTTGCGAATACCATCAGCTTCGCTCTGGCAGCACGTTGACTGTGAATCTAGAATCTAGACCCCACCCCTGCATGGCAAAAGGACAGACATCTGGGCAGCACTCTTTTTCCTGCCGGGCCTCTATTCTTTGGACTCGGCTTCTTCTGCAAGCTTCTGGGACAGGCTGAAGCCGCCCCAGGTGCGAGCCCGCCAGGATTCAAAGGCCTGGCTGCCTCCGTAGTTCTTCATCTGCTTCTGCTCCAGGCCGCGGGTGGCCTGCATGAGGACGAAGAAGATGCCGAGATAGCCCAGCGAGGCCAGCAAGGTCCAGAGCCAGAGGGCCTTCAGAGCCTTCAAAGGTGAGGGAAAGGCAGCAAAGGCGCAGAGCCCCGCAGCGAAGCTGCAGGTCCAGAGGAGCTGCTCACCTGTGTAGTTCGGATGCCTGAAGATGGCAAAGGGGCCGCCAGTGACCAAGGCATCCTCTCCCCGCTTACCCTTTGCCAAAGACTTCCAGAAATCGCCCAAAGCCGCAAGGAAGCAGCCCGAGCACATGAGCCCCACAAAGATCTTGTACACCAGGAACCTCCCGACAGAAGGCGCTCCCGTGGCCATGGCAATGGGAGCAGCCAAGCCCAAGTACAAAACAGCACAAGCACTGAGGAAGGGCACGCGACTCCAACGGCTCCCACTGTCTCTTGATCTCTGCTCGATCCTGTCGCGAAACTCACGGAACCGTGCAATGCACAGCTCACGATACAAGAGAAACAGGGACAGCCTCGCGCCGTAGAAGCAAAGGCAGCCGGCGTGCAATGCTACCGGCATCGGCAGAGGCAGATTTCCAAGCAGCAAAGCTCCAGAGAAGGCAGTTGCAAGGCCGTAGCCATAAGACACGCCATACTCGGCTTGCAGAAGCCCAAGGAAGGGTGGCAAGAAGTTGGCAACGACCAGGGACCCGCTCAACGCCGCAGTGGCAGTCGCAGAGCTCGCTGCCCCTTTTTGGCCGAAGCCGGAGCTCCCAAGAAGCGGCGGAGACGCGGGAGAGCTGAGAGTCTCCGCTCTGCCCTTGGGCCCCCAGCCGAGTCTCGGTGTCCGCGGCGCCCAGGCAGCGAAGCCGATCACAGGCCACTGCTGGTGCACCGCCACGGCTGCGACGATGGCTGCGGCTGTGGCACAGGGAAGCCTCCCCTTCCCCGGTGCGCGCCTTCGCGCAGCCATGGGCTCGGCAACTCCAAGGGTCGCAAGAGTCACAAGAGTCGCAGTCGCAAGAGTGAGGGGCTTCTGAGAACTCTGCCAAGTGTAAGTGAGCCTGGAAACGGATGCCTGCATCAATCAACGCAGCTGCTCAAGGCGATCAACTGGAAACTGCCAAACTCTTTGGATGTACCTGCCCTACACCTTGAACGGGACCTGAACTTAAACAGGCTTGAGCTCCCTGCTCTCAGGACACAGCAGCTGGCCTCCACGATGTCGTAGCGCTTCGTCTCCGCACCGCCCACCGGATGACCGGTCTTCCCCTCGCTCATATTGGTCCTCGGCTCGCTCGCGGCGAAAGACTCTGGTGCGTGGAGTTTGCAGGGTTTCCGTTCCCAGAGCCTTCGGGATTGACCTGGGGCCCTTTTTGTTGAGCTTCGGAGTGAATCTCTCCAAAGTCTTCTTCGACTCCAAACGTTTGGGCTGGGAGGAAATCCCCAACATGAGTCCAAGCGGCATGAGCCAGGTGGCCGTGGATTTCGGATAGTCGACCTGATGCCAGCAGATGCTGCACCCTAAGCATCCTACAGCCCTGACGGCGTAGCAGTAGCACCGAAGACATCTTGGACTGGACACGCCGCTGACACTCTGAGGCCCCGAAGTTACACACCCTGATCCCTGACCGCCAAAACCCCCAAGTCACCGCCTCCTCGTGGCCCTCGCCTGCCTTGTGGGGGGTCTGAGAGTCTGGTGGTTGGCTCTATCTCGGCTTCAGGGGTGGAACTCTTCGAACTTCCTGAACGCTCAGCTCAGGGAGACCATGCAGCAGGAACTCTGGATGCTCTGGCTGCTTAGAGTCTTACAGGCTCTTCAAGTGGAGGGTTGAGGGGTCATCCGTATAAGCACAAGCTTAATCCGACGGGGGTCGTGTTCCAGGCTTCGGGGAACCGAGTGCCTGCGCGTCGTCATCGTAGCCTTGAAGTCGGTTGACGAGGGATTGGTAGCCTCAGGCCGTGGCCACATGGCCGAGAGCTCTTATGCAAACATGCTCAGAAAATGTTTTTGATTTTGCTCTATGCATGGGGGGAATCAAGGCCTGCAGCACTCGAGACGGCCGTGAGTCTGCAGAATAACTTGAAAATGCATTGACGCAAGCATACAGTAAAGATCTATGAAGCTCGTCCCACTTGGAGCTCCTGATTACAAGGAACCTGCTACCCAGGCCCTCAGAGAAGCAGAGCAGCCGTAGTCAAACTCATGATTCCCGAAAGTCGCGTAGTCCACCCCGACTGCATTCATGGCATCGATGATGTGCGCACCCTCCAGGCGAAGCAAACGCTGGGGGGTCACAGGATGAGCGTCTTGCACCGCGGGAGTGCTACTTCTTGGGAAGCTATATAGGAGTTTGTGACCTTCTACGGAACCAAAGCAGACATCGCCCTCTATACACCTACCTGATCAAACCGATGCGCCGCCATTTTTTCTAGAAGGCATGGCTTCGAAGGCAAAGCTTCCTGGGTTTCAGGGCTTCTCTCCGTTCTGGGGGGAAGAAGCCTTGCTGAAAGATGAAGTCAGCGAAGGCCCCACGAAGTCACCGGACATGCAGACCAGCACCTGCGGGAGGGTTCACGCAGCAGAGGAGGAGGAGGAGGAGGGAGAGTAGGTCAGAACATCACAATGCACATGATGCTGGTGATGCTGATGACGATGATGCCGATGATGGTCAACAGCCATTGACATCGCCGGTAAGCAAGCTGATGGCAACGCGACGACGACCGTCAGTCATGACGATGATGATGACGATGACGATGACGATGACGATGATGACGATGATGATGATGATGATGATGACGATGATGTAACGACGATAGGATGATGAAGAGGAGCCACGATGACGACGGAGACAACAGAGACGATGGAAGAGAAGGCACGAGGAAGGAGGGAGGAGGAGGCGATGGTAAGCATGCTGATACCGATCCAGCTCAGCACCGGTGGGGCCTTTCTTCCTTGTCCAATGCAGAATGTACAGCCGGTTGAGACCGACCCCGTAACAAGATAGGTGCTCTCGACGATCACGACCAGAAACGGAAAGCTCTCCCGGAAGATCTTCAACATGCTGCGCGGCACCTTCTGGGGCGCCAACTCTGCCTTCAACTCTCGGAGGATGGTCATGAAACGGGCGGCTCCGCCCACCGGCTCCTCCTGTTCAGGGGCATGTTACCAGAGCCAGTGCCTTTCTTGCGCCACTTTCAGTCTTTCTGAGTCTCAAAGCCTGCGCGCTCCTTTGTCCCGTAACCCTTCGGAGCTTCCCTTTCTCTCTAGCTTGCGTTCTGACTCTGCAGACTCCCAGTGCTTAAATATATGTCACAGTCTAACTCCAGCTTCTTTGCAGATCCCTCCCACTTCTCCCCAAGATCCTTGTGTTGCGGCTGGAGGTTGTAGACATCGTTGAAGTGGACGATGTGCACCTCCTCTGGCCGGGAACTCTTATTTGCATGATGGAATGATGGTGAAAAGCGATTTGAGAACCACTCCCGGGAGACCCTTCAAAATCAACATTCATTGGCCAACCGGTCCTGAAGAACTGGCTCGTCCTTCAACGCTTTGGCGGGTGGAAGGACGAGCTCGCCTGACGCCTCTGCCGAGTGTCGCTGCATCAGAGCTTTACAACTTCGGCGGACTCACGTTTGATGCGTAATCCAACAGCTATCGGAGAATAACCCCACTACGTCGCTACTGTACCCTGGCCCCTCCCATCCCCATCCTTTCGGCTATGTCCCACCCTCCACATTTTCAGACCGACGCCCACCCGATGCTGCCGTACAATCTGAATCTACCTTGTAAATGAACACGTTACAGATTGGTACAGCTTTCAAGGATGGACTAGAAATCGCTTAGCGCATCCTGACCCTCAAACTTGGTTGGAGACGTGGGGTGGGCCAGGGACAAAAGACGGAACAGAGCAACTGCCATCACCTGACCTGCAGCCCCATCAGCACTATGATGATCATCGTCACTATGATCATCTTCTTAACTACACTCGAAATGCCCGCATCGCCCACTGCTACTACCACCGCTCATACTTCCTACCAGTGCAGAACTGCTGGATCGCTTGTGGCGCAGAAGCAAAGGCCTCTTGCTACCAACTCTGTACTTCGGACTTCACTGACTTCATCATCATAACAAGAACCAATGGAGCCTCGGCATCTCTATTGGCCTCGCAGCAGAACATGGCACAAACTCCGGTCCGAAAGAAGTGAGTGATCTAGCCTAGGTGGCCTTCTAAGGCTCTAAAGCTGTAGGAGCAGGTCCAGTGCGTCGAGATCTCTTGAACCATAAGGACAGCTGGCAACACGAGAGGTCCGGAATTCATCTCTCGGTGCTGCTTCGACATGGAGAAACTGCCCGGTATTCCTCGCGTCCTCATCTCCGAAGGCTCCCCTGCCCTTCCCGAGAGAACTTTGCTTTTGTCCAAGTTCATTAAAGGTCCGAACTGCAAAAATAAAAATCTCAGAGACTGAAAGCCTTCGAGACTCCGCTTCCGAGACTGATGCCACTTTTTTCCCACAACCCGCCGCACTCGCAGCATGGGAGCCAAGTCCCCTAAGGCAGCTGGCCTCCCTTCATGGCTCCGACTCCCAGAAAGCGCCAAACAGCTTAGTATTAGCCATGCTTAGCCTGTCCGCTCTTCCGCGAGGCTCCGCTCAGTGCCAGGGGCGCATCGGCTCCCAGAGGGGACCTCCGGCACCGGCACCTCACGGCGGAGCCTGCGGAGCCTTGGCTCCAAGATTGAGAGCGCCGCTTTCGTTTTGTCTTAAAGTTTAGCAGCTCGAGAGCGAGTGCCTCGAGAGAGCGAGGAAAACTTCTCGGCGCGTCCTCGAGAGGAGCTACTCTTTGCGACCCAGACCCAGAAGCAGACCACGAGCTCCTTCTGCACGCTCGTTTTTAGGCCACGCGCTGGTGTGGGCCAGAGCCGATTTTCTCAGTCCTTAAAACCAGACCCGGGAGGTCCATGATTTTCTGAAGTTGGGACTTCTGCTGACAGTTGCTGCGATTTTTGGGGTATGCGGTAAACCCTGTCAAGCCTCATCCATCTCCGGGGCTCTGCGAGGAAACTGGCGGAGGTGTTGCCGGGCTTCCGGCACACTGAGCTTCAGGGGAGAAGCCACCTGAGACCTCTTCGCTTCAAGTTTGGGCGCAGGTGCAGCGAGGCGCCGCCTCGCTAGCGAGGGAGCTGCAAGCGGTGCCTCCGCTGAGTCAATGGTGCGGCTGGCAGAACTCTCCGCAAACTTGCAAGCTGCAACAGCGGCGAGTCTAAGCAAGGTCAAGCTGACGGCTCAGGGAAACCCTGCTGTCGTCCCTGTCCCTGGCCCCAAGCAGCACGAAATGCTTCCCGCCGTCTTCAAACGCGTCTCCGACCCCCACCCCGACCAGGTGCGAGGCCACGGATCCTGGCTCGTGTTGCGGTGCGGCCTCGTGTCAAGCTCTGAAGCTCGAAGAGACTCGAGGAGTGCTCGTGCTCGCACGCGTTTCTGAAGTCTCTAGCGACACCGAGGACCCCTGAGGAACGGAGCAGCGAGTGCTGCTCGGCTGCCCTTGCACCCGCAGACACCTCACCCTCTGGCCGCTCTGGCCCGCCTGGCCCTGCCTTAGCCTTGATCCTTTCGCTAAGGTCTTTACGGATCCCATGCCAAGTCCGGGCCAGGTCTTGGACCAAAGGCGGCTGCACCATATGACCTCCTTCAACCACTCAGGGACTCAGGGCAGGGAGCTTCACGTTTCAATAGCTCTGGGACACCCTACTTCGGTCGAGTCTCCTGAATTGCGAGGCGGCCCTCTTGCACGGCCTGATCATGCCCTCACCCAGTCTGTAGGCTCTTCGACACTCTGCACGAACCGATGAGCCGAAGCACCGTACCGACCGTGCCGCAGCCCGCACCGGCAACAGGCTTCCATGCCCTCACCTGCCACACAAAAAGCTTCCCATCCCAAGCAACCCGCCAGCTCTCCTCGCACGGCGCGCCGAAGCTCGGGCTACTGGCTTCGGCTTCGAGCCGAAGCCTTCACGGCCGTGCAGGTCTCATGGACTGAGAAGCCCAACAGAAGGGACTGTCAAGGGCTCACGGCACATGTCGACGTCAATGGCACCCGGACGGCTTGCTGATTGCGAGAGGTGTCTGTGCTTCTGCTGGGAACAAGCCAAAGGTGGCAGCAAGCGCATGCGATCGCCCCAGCGCCATGCGAACGAGACTCGAGCGAGCAAGTCTGTACCGCCCAGACCCCGACTGCAGAGATCTAAAGGAACTCCTGGCCACAAGCCTCAGCCAACTACCCTCTGCCCCACAAGGCTGGAAATCTGATTATGGGTGCGCTGGTCTATTGAGGAAAAATAGAAAGAGGCTGCCGAGCATGACATAAAGCATGCCTCACCTAAATCTCTCGCACGAAGCAACGACTTTGGGCGAACCCGAGCACGAGGCTCTGCAAAGAGTTTCGAAATGGAAATCAGGTTTAGAGCAGCCAAGGAAGGCTCCCTCCAAGTCCTCAAAAGGCCTCAAGCCTTCGAGTCTTCGATCTTAGCTTCTTCCAATCAAATTTTCCAGGGCTTTTGCGGCTGATACACCTTTTAGCTCGAAGCTCCACTCATGCCCTTGGATGGGTGGGCCAAAAAAGAAGCCTCACCTCGTCTCCTTTGTCCAAACCGTTGAGGTGCGCAGGTCATGTCTGGAGGTTTCAGGATTTTGGACTTGGAGGCTTCCTTTGCGCTGGTGTGCACCCCTCGCAGATCGCTGTCGCTGTATCGCTGATGTCAAGGGCAGCCGCCGAGAGAGCCTCATCCGACAGCCAGAGGCCAAGAGAGGCCTCAAGGCCGCCCAGCCCTTTCCTCAGCCTTTCCTCAGCTTCGATCAAACGGCTGGGCTTCTGAGCTTCGCAATGTGGCGGCTGTGTCTTTAAGGATTTTTTTCAGCGTTTGGGGGACTTGGGCCTCGGCAGAAAAGCTGTGCTGTGCCCCGTCGTGTGTGGGCTACAAACAGCAGCAGAGACCCCCTTGGTCAGAGTCCTTGTCTTGCACAGGCTTGGGAAGATATTTGGACGGACCCTCAGCTCTACATCACTCTAACAGCCGCTGCTCCTCTGGCACTGCAAAGCCCAGTCCCGGCTCATTGACGGGCTTCTCGCCCAGGCCCGTGCGGCGACTGCCGAAGCTGATACAAAGCGTGCCATGGCGAACAAAAGCTGTGCCGGCTTCGGCGGCTTAAAGGGGCGTTGATCCCTTGCATCAACGGAGGGTCCAAGAACCAGCTGGACCTCGAAAGTCTAGCCAAAAACGTGTGTTACCCAGGCGTAGCATGGAAGCTGATGCCATGATCTTCACACGTCCTCAATCTTTGCATGCAGACACGTCGCAGCGCGTTCACGTCAGCGTGTCACTGGGTGCGTGGAGACGCGTCGCACAGCAGGGGAGAGCATGCTGTGCGAAGCGTGTGGGCGTGTCAGACACAGCCGGTGCAAGCGCAGCTGAGTGGAGACTAGCCAACTGGACAATGTCTCTTCAATGCGCGAGTGAGCAGTGTGAGATGTTGCACTGCAGCGGCAACAATGTCCGTTTCTGTGGCTAGTGCCTTTTTGAACAGTCTCAGCGCGCCGGAGGAAGCCACTTCTGAATGCAATACCGTACCCATGCACAGCAATCGCCAACTCCGCTGCTAAGTCACTGATTGGGGGCTAGACCCACAAATGTTGATGTGCGAGGTGAGGCGGCCGAGATGATCGCCCCTGATGCCTAATTTGTTGGTGTTGTCTCTTTGCTTTCCTTTCGGGGTGGAGGGCTTGTCGGGAAGCTCGGGCAGGCGCAAAAGATGTGGGAATGTGGCAAGGCAGATCTGCCGATTCTTGGCTGAAGGATTCTTCGGCGAAGACCGAGATTCCCCATGTAGCAAGGTGGAAGGGTTAGGAGCCAAGCAAAACCTCGTTAGGCGATCGATGAACCTCCTAGGTAGCTTCCAGTATCAATAAGTCAACGGGTTTTGAAAGGCTTCATTTTTCAACAAGGGTCCATGCTTCTGCAGGCTATGCCGAATTCTGATCCGTTCTTCCATACCTCAAGCTTCAGGATCTGCAGCCATACACAGAAAACCCAGCCCAGGTGGACCATGCAGAAGCTCAGCCCCGACGCCACCCGTCTCACCTCCGACACGCCACGATCCGCAGCCCGGAACTCTGCCTGAAGGCTGTGCACACCACGGATCCTTAACACCTCCGTTCGACTGCTCCGCTGAGCCTCGCAATCCCAGAGGGCTCTGAGTGGCAAGATGTGACAAGACACGGCAAGACGATGTGTGCTGTGCTGGACCGGACTCTCAAGACCCCACAGATCCATCCGAGCATTGCTGGCACTTCAGTGCTTCGGCGGTGCGTTTGTCTTCCGGAATCCATCGAAGATGCCTTCGGATCTGGGACAGCAGGACTGCAGCATGTGCGGAGCCTTGCGAAGCCAAGTTTGATGGGCACGAGCTTTACTTGCAGAGCCGCCGCCAGTGGCCAGAGGCCGAGGGCGAGACTCTCAGAAAGAGCTGACGGCGATGCGGCGACGCCTTTTGGGGATCCGCGGGCCCCTTTCGGCCAAAGCAGAAACCTGGCAGCGCATCCCTGGACCACTCATCGGAGATTGCCCCACTTCAAAAGGGGGAAGCAAAAGCAATTGCACATGCCCTCCTCAGAGCGGCTCATCCAGCTGCCAAGCTGCTAAGAACCTCCTACGACTCCTACCCCTTCGACGTTTTCTTTGGGGTTCTCCCTTCTAGGCCCTTTTTCCCAAGAAGGCTCCAATCGGCGACCCGCTCTGGATCTTTAAAGCAAGGCAGCAGGGCAGGCACTGCCCGGCATCCCGCCGCCAGACAAGTTGGGGAGCAAAAAAAGCGAGCTGGAAGGGGCCCGGGCCGCGCAACAGCATGGTCCGTGAACTCAAGAGGACGTGGAAGCTTGGGGGACCAGTGACCGTCTGGGCCCTGCCAGGGCACTCGTGATTGTAGGGCCATCCGGCTCCCGAAGAAACCACCACAGCAAGACCGGCACGCTTCCTTAACGCCAGCGAGGAATGAGCGGAACAGCTTGAATCATCGCTGCGTTTCGAGTCCACATCGAGCCTCTATGCACACGGAGCTGTGCTAGCATAGAGCAAGGCCTGGTCCCATGAAAACGGCCTCCAACAAGGCTCCCCGCGGCTTCACTTCAAAGTCTTCAGAACCAAACCTGAGGACTCGTCGTCAGCGGGTGCGGCTGGTTCTTGCGTTGGGACACACAGGACTGCGCCGGGGCAGCGAAGCTAAACATCCAACATACAGCCCACGGAACAAGATCAGAAGGCTCCGTGGCCTCAGACGCCTCCGGCGCATTCCCGCCGCTGCCAGCTGCAAAAGGTCGGCCATCAGACTGGCGACCTTTGAAACCCCTGAACTTGCGATTCGGAGCAGGCGAAGCCGCTTTGCTTGGAAAGCAGGCATCGGCCGAAAGATAACATCGAAAGATCCTCCATGATAGGTTTGGCTTGCCTTTTGCACTCGTGACAGGATGAAGGCTGTGCTTTGACGACACACAGCAGCAAAGAGCTACAGCAAATCTTTAGAGACACGGCCACTTCGAGTAGCATGAATCGAAGACTGGATGGACGCCTTAAACCTTAAAGCCCAAACCCACTTCAACCCCTGACGACCGCGCTTGCAAGGCCAGCTCCCAGCAAAGTGCGCTGTTGACCGCTAGCGGTGCATTGGTGCATGTCCATGGGGCATCTGCGCTCTCCGGGATCACGTAGAGCGGAGCCCTTGTAGGTAACAATAGGAATCCCTTACGGCCCTTACGTAAGATCTCTTGCTTTGGGACTACCCCACCTACCCTTCATCCCTTGGAGCCCTTTGATTCAAGCGTGCTTGAGGCCCCATGGCGGGTGCCTCAGGGAGCAGCTGAAGAGCTCTGCGCGGCCACGCGCGGTTCGAAGGAGCTGTGAGGCTTTCGGAGCTCAGGTTCCCCGTGCACTCTCACAAAAGCCGATGAGGCACACTCCAGCGGCTTCCAGCACACGTGTGCCGCCCACAGACTGCAGCCTCCCTCTCATAGCAGTGCTGGAATGCAGATCGGTGAGGTGAGCGTCAACTCGCGGGTGAAGCACAGCATTCTCAGCAGGACGGCCCGGACGGCACCGCATTGTCCGCAGCTTGAAGAGTGGCTGCAAGATCGTGGTGGAAGAGTGGCTGTAAGTGCGCAGAGCTGTGGCTTCATCTGCACTTCAGCGTCAGCTTCGCTTCCCGTCGGCCCAATGGCTCAGCACGGCATCTATTCACACCAAGCGTCCGGAGGACGTCGCTTGCCCAATGGCTCATGCAGGAAGCGTTCACCATGAATTAGGTGTATGGACAGGTGGACACCACGGCAGAAGACTTCTTGAGTTCGTGGCTCTGTGACTTCACTGCACGCAGGGCAGATTGCATGCGCGTAGTCCTCTCAAAAGGTCCGCGTGGTGGTTACGGGACCGATACCTCCTCGAAGCAGCCATGCAGTCTCAAATTCTCAAAGCACTCTTCCTCTGCCAAGCATCCGGAGGACGCCGCGCCGGTGTGCGGTCAGCTTGATGGATCGGTACAGGGCCGGCTCTGAGAAAACGCCTGCGCCTGACAGAACGGGCCTTGGCACCATCAGCTCAAAATTGATGGCATGAGGCAGAGATGACGTGGCAGCTTGCGCCAGCTGTCCCTCGTCTTGAAGTGGAGCACAGACAAGAGCAGTTCCACAGGATTCGAAGGCGTTCCAGTGCTCGGCAAACGCTTTCGCGTCCGATCCATGGCATCCCAGCCACCGCTACATGTGATGCTATCGTGGGTTTATCACGATTTATGCGACTACAAGACGTCCCCGGCTTGAAAGGCTGGCGGGATGTGATCAAGTTCTTGAAAGCTGCTGGCACTCCTTGCGGCAGCTCCGCGCCACAAGCCTTTGCAGTACGTCCATTTCTGTCAGACAAGCGGCGATGCACGAGCGATGGCTTCCAAAGCCATGGGTCATCTCGACAAACACACGGATGACTGTCGAGCAGCGTGGCTTCCAGCATGCAGCTGGCATCACCGGCGCTGCCGCATGGTGGCCAGAGCCTTCTTGCCGGCCACGGGCAGATGCCTTCTCACGGGCCTGCCCTGCGACTGCTGCAGGATGATCCTCGCAGAGTGTGGTGCCTGCAAGATACAAGAGCTGCGGGTGTCACGCACTCACGACCCTGGAGCTCTCCTTGCTCCCTGGGGCGACTGTGCTCTTTTTGTGGGAATGCCTCGGCAATAAGCGACATCAGCTGCGCTTCCCTGGCCACGCCGCGAGCTCGCGCCAGGCGGCGCAGAGCCGCAGGAGGCTGAGCGGCTGGAGCCGCCGCCCAGCAGGGCTTTCGTAGCCTAAGGCTGCCCCACAGAAGACTTGAAAACTGAGGCCCCGGGTCCCGGCGAAAAAGCCGAAGGATGCAGGATCGCTGCACTCACGGCATCGTCACTTCTCACAGCTCCAAAGAGCGCCGAGTGGGGTCCCGGTCCGGTCCGGCTCTGGTCTGCCCCGGCCCTATCCCAAAGGCCATCCCCGCTCTCTGCTGTCCTCAAAACAATCTTGAAAGCATGGAGTCGGCGACGTTGGACAGACACGACAGCTTTCTCAATTCTCGAGATGACCCATTATTTCAGAGGTCCACCGCGCCTCGAGGCGCCACCTTCATGCCCTTCCTACAGCTTCTTCAGCTCGGATGGGACGCCTGAGCTTGGAGCGATGTAACACACATTCGAGCGCCCAAGATGCAGCCGAACCTTGCCCGCTCGGCTGAAAAATCGGAGGTCGTCTGCAGCTGTGCTACTGTTTGGGCGAGAGGCGCAGCATCCGCCGTTTCAGAGGCTTTTATGCACGGCGAGATCCGAGTGTGTTGCACGGGAAAGGCCCTTATTCGCCTGGCCCTCCTCTCAGAGCATGTGGAAAAGCGCTTGAAGCTATCATCTAAGCTTCAGGCTCGCTCGTACTTCAAAGCATACTCTCGCGCTGAGGTCTTCAAAGAGAAATCTGCCCCGACAGGCGGCGGATGGGATGGAGAAGAGGCCGCAAGGCCAGGCACTCCATCAACGGGAATCAGCCGCGGCAGGCAGGTCAACAGACCCTGGGCTTGATCCGTGAAGAGCTAAGTGCCATGCTTCGACTGAGGCTTCAGGCAACATCCACACTTGGCCAGCGATAGTGTTTCCGTAAGACCCGGAACCAAAACGGTTCTCCTGGGCACCTGAGGGCTCTGGGAAGACTTCATTTGGGTAGTTTTCTAAATTAGGGTCCCTTTCTAGGTCCCCAATATAGTACGGCACCCTTATAAAAAGGACCCCAAAAGGGACAACATTTTAAAGAACTGCCTATTTCACGACCGAACAGCTCGGCACCTCAAGCGAAGGCCGGGAGGAAATGAGGTTGGGGCTGAAGCCCCGAAAAACGCACCAGTGGGAAGAGAAGTCACGGGTGTGTCTTCTGGAGTCGATGGTGGCTCAGGCAAGCTATCGGCCAGCTTCCAGGTGGCCTTCTGATCACGAAAGAGCCTTTGGGTCTGTGTCGGACGACTCGGATTAGGAGGCTCTGCGACTGCTTCTGTCTTCTGCCCAATGGCCCAATTTTCGAAACCATCCGAGCACCTGCGATAGAGAAAAAGGCTTGGGGAAGCTCTCTCCGCAAGTGAACCCGGAAGGACTCAGTTGAATCAATAAACGCTTTACTGGGGACGAGCTTCGAAGGGAGCAAGGTGGTTAGCGATGTGTCGAGAGCATGCCGTTCCAGGGCAGCCGCAGTGGCTAAGACCATCCCGAAGTCACGGCAGGAAGCAGCCTGGGCTGTTCTGGGACTGAAAACCTTGTCGCCAGCTCTCAGGTTCCTTCAGTCGCTGGCTATCAGAGGAAGCCTCAGTGCCGCAGTCCTAAGCTCAGCTGGCTCCCGCGGTCCAGGGCCACAGGCAAGGCCAGGTAAAGACCCTCCGACTATGCGACAGCTCTTCTAGGCCTAGGCTTCTCACGAAAGAAGAAGAGCGCGGGTCCACCTGCCGCTTGCCGATCCATGGCCAGCCTCGTGAAGCGAAAGGGCAGCTCGCACAACAGCTTCTCTTGTTTTCTACACTGACGGCTGACAGCTATGAGACTTCCGTTAACTCAAGACTTGGTCCTCTTCGAACCTTCTCGGCAAAGCTGCCGCTGTGCAGGCCAGCGCCGTCCCGTCGCAGATGATCGCCATGGCAGATTCCTGAGACCCGAGCCTGATCGGCTGCGGCAAAGATCTCTTCTCAAATGGACTTCCTCAGATGTTAGCAACTTGTAGCAACCGAACAGTGCTTATTGGCTCATCGTGACGGTTTGTTGTGGTGCTTGATCGTGCATTTGTCAGGAGCCAGATTCTTTAAACAGATATCTTCATCTGAACCTCTGCGCAACCCCAGCACCTCAGCGCTCAGTAACCTGAATACCGCTAGCAAAAGTTGCAAAGCAGTGTTGATAGTGTTGCTAGGAATGCTCGTGGAATAGAACGGTAGCCGACTGGACACGAGCGAGTTGAGAAGCAGGGCAACTCGCCTCAACGTTGCACATCGTCGTTCCGGAGTTGCTCTGCTGCTTCGGCATGCTTCTGGCAGCTTTGGACACGTTATGACGAACGAGACTCCGAACCGCACTTTGCAAGTTGGTGTTTCAGCAAGGCAGCTGTGTTCTCAGTTGGGGTCCGACAGCCTTAGATCGCGGTGCTTTCAATCATCGAACAGCAGTAGTCCGTGGTGTGGTGGTAGTGGTGGCAGTGGTGGGTTGCAGTGCTGGAAATGGTTGTAGTGGTCTTAGTGGTAGTGGTGGCGGTGGCGGCGATCGTGGTGTCGTGACAAACTAATACTAATGCTATAGCTGCCTTTTGTCTCCACTATCTCCATCCATGCATCTAGAAGTCTAGCCCACCACCTGTCCGTCATCGTTGACACACACTTCCCTCAAAGGCACCGCGTGCTCGTTTTCTCACGTCGCCATCAGCACTTGAGGAGTGAAGCGTCCCAGGGGCGGAGGCGGGATTCAGCTGCGACCTTTAAAACAAGATGCTGCCCGCTCGTGCGCCGAGTGACTTCAACTTCAGATTGTCCGGGTTGCGACGAGGTGCTGGAGGGGGGAGCTTCCTCGGAGAAGGAGCTTTCAGAAGCCTGTCAGCAAAACCTTCAACACCCCTTTTCCCCAACTACCTCAAGTTGAACCAGGGCAGCATCGGCCGCGAGGGTGCGGGTTTGTTGCTTGGGAGACCTTCGGGCTCCGGCAGCAGGGTGCTGCAGTCTGCAACTCACGCGAAGCTCCCCCACCAGGTCTTCATTTCAGAAGCCATGACAACCTATGGCAACCTGTCATATCGGCAGCGTCACCGGACTCTAAGTTCCACTCGTTGCATGCCTGCGCACCCTGAAGGCCCAAAGGAAGCCGAGACCCATAGCTGACAAGTGAGAGGACAAGCTCAAGCCCACCATGCTTTTAAAAAGAATATCTCCCTGCATAAATTCCACAAATACAAAGTGCAGGGATGCCGCTGGACTTACTCACAATCTCTTGGAGGACCCCCAGAATGCGACTGCCTTTTCGCTGCTTAGTTGATTGCGGCTCGCCGGCTCGGGGCCCCGGTGTGCTGACAAGCATGTTCCATCACAACTCGTCCTGAGCCCCGCGAAGCGTGACAAACTGACAGCGGAGGCTCTGCCGAGCCTGAGTGCGGACCTGTGGCCTCAGGGAAGTTATGCAAAGGGCCTTTGAGAAGCTCTGCAGCTGCATAGCACCGATGCTTGGAGCTCCGAGCTCGCACCGCAGGCTTCGGCAGTGCCGCATGCACAAATTCATCGAAGTCCTGCCCTGGCCGTGACACCTACAGGAACGAGTCTAGCAATTGGTGCCCATGGGCCATGGGCTGAGTGTAGTCCCGACATGCTTGCAGACCTGGCCGGGCCGCGGCCAACACCACCCCAGACGAGAATCTCTGCACAGACTCGCAATTCTTGAAAACCTTGAACTCCAGACAGTTACCACTGGGCCAGTTGGCCGACACGGCCACATGCCCGAGCCGTGAAAGCCGCCAAGGAAAGAAATCCCATCGAGAAAACTTGCAGCACGATGTGCGAGGCTGCGCGTGCGGCAGCACCTCAGCCGCCACCGAAGCAAGCAGACGCCTTCATTTCTGCTGCATCCACCCTTGGGAGGAAACGCGGCCCTCTACCGGCGAGTGCACAGGAAGCTTGGATGGTGTTGAAAACCGATTGTAGGATCTTGCCTCGTGTATGCGGTCTCGGACGATGACAAAACACCCTGCTGCGGCGGCTCTGAGACAAGCTTGCCGACGACGCGTGCGAACAGATGCCGATGCGGAAGCACCGTGTCGCACGTCTCAGGCAAACTTCTGGCCTCCGTTCACTTGGCCCGATTCGACGCCAGACATCCAAAGCCGAACCCCCAAGTTTTATGGTTAGTCGCCTTCGGCCGGGGCACTCTGCAGCCCGGAGAACTGGCCCAGGCTGCCTTCGGCTTCGGCCGAGCTTTCCTTGCCTCAAAAGTAGGACCCTTGCAAGCTGTCGTATAGAAAACTCACGACATCTGCTGTCTAGGGCACCCGAACGGCTGTCTGCGAGATGTGCGCCTGTTTGCTTCGAGCGAGAGCTGAAGGCAGCAGGCGGCTGCATCCGCCGCCGCAGCGACGCCGGTGCTTCCAGATCCGTGGTGCTTGGCCGCCTTGGCCAGACAAGGACCAGCAAAGCACCGGCCACGCGAAGGCCAACTTCGCGACACCGACACAAAGAGCAGCATCAGGGCTTCGACCGACAGGGCCGCAGACTCCTAGCACCCTCAAAGCTTGCCAGCCGACCGAACTCCTGGCCACGAAATCGCGATGTTTTTCTTGGAGCAAGGAAAGTCCGGAGCGGCAGCGCATGCCAAGCGATGCCAATGCCTTGCGGTTTCAGCTCTTGGCCGCCACGAGGCCGAAGCCTTCGAAGCCTTCACGACGCTTCTCGAAGCTGAGGTTCCACTCACAGCTCTTCTCGCCTGAAGCGGCCTGCGCCGAGAAAATGCCCAACGCAGGCCCTTCCGCGCTGGTGCAGCGAGGCCACTGCCTAGAACACTTGCACGGTTACCATCATGAGAACGGATGCTGCCGCTGCCGGCGTGGCAGCCCCGCGCCTCATGTCTGGCGACATGCGCCAAAACTTTTTTAGCCACAAGTACGGCTTCGAGTCTACTCGCATTGCAGACACTGTTTTCATGGCCACTGGCTTGCAGCTTTTGCTTCCAGTGCGGTGCGACAGTTCCACGTGCCGCCTGCCCGTCTCCCTCACAACATTCCGTCACACTGCAGCGAGCGGGGCGCCTTTGAGAAGCCTCGCCCTTGTTCGGAGACCAAGACACCTATCACGGGATGTGGCTTTTGGGGCGTCGGATTGGCTGCAAGGCGCACGGCCAGGCAAATGCCCGCTGTGGGAGGGAGCTCCATGTGCAGACCGCTGCTACGCTGGAGATTCAAGCACGGCACACCATAGCGAGGTTGATGGAAGGCCGGTTGTCCTTGAAGCAATGCAATGGATTGGATCTTGCGGAAGTGCAGAATATGTCTAGCATTACAAGATCTGCCAGGAGTCTAAGGCGGGGTCTTGGGAAAACATTCACCAGTGGTTGTACAATTTGTGTTTCGCAAGCATTCCGAATGTGGAACGTGTGCCACAAGGCGTTCCGAGGGAGCACTCCTGAATCGGAATGCTTTCCAACTGTGATGCTGCAGGAAGACATGTTGAGCACCGGTGCATGTCCGGAATGCTCTTGTTGGAGCACACCCTCGAATGCTTTCTAGAAGGCCCGTCCTCTTTAGACCCAAGTCAGAAGTGCTGCGAATAGCATTCCAAAAGCTGTTCTGCAGAATGATCTGTGGGAAGGCTTGCTAGATCTTGTAAGTCTAGCATCGTAGTCGGGTGTGCCTTGAGCCGGTTCAGAGTTTCGCAACTGCTGCCATGCTGAAGAAAGCATGCACCGGGAAAGGGTCACAGCCTCTGTCTGCTGCCAAGAAGTTTCAGCCCAACTTAATTTCTGGGCATTCGCCAGACTTGATTCATCGGCATTCGAAAGAAAACGGATGGCACCTTGATGAATAAGCGCAAAGGTTCGGGCGACAGCCAGAGGCTGAATGAGAACTGAAGCAGACACTGCTTCAACTGTGACCGTGACGTCCATGCTTGCGTGCCGAGGTGGCTTGGTGGACAAAACAGGAAGCTTGCTGAGAAGATCCAGTCGCCTGCAATTTGCTGTTTCGGCGTGACAGCAATCTGGTAGTGGAGCGCATAGCCGTTGAATTCATGAAAGATGCATACACAGACATGAGCACGATCTCAGGCACGACATTGTACATAGCCCCTCGTTATCCTGCTGGACAACAGTGGGACCACAACAGACTACGTGTACATGCATGACTGTGTAAAGTGATCTGATCATCATTCCCCGAGAGAACTACACATCTCCACGCTCACGCTCGGCCCTCTGTGCTCCGGTCCTAGGTGATCATACTGCCATTTTTTGCGAACCTTCTGCGGCTGCCAGTGGCAACTGACAACAAACAGTTCAGTTTTAGGACGATTCTATCGTCTTGGCACCGGAAGGAAGTTGCCACGCCGTTCCACCCTAACTTTGGTCATAGGCATGCCTCAAACTGAGGCTACGTGCAACCCGGCAGAATACGTTTCTTCCCATTCCCCAAGAAGTCACTGAGCCAAGTGCGCAGAAGGCGAGCAGGACCCAGAGTCGCAAGCAGACACTGAGGATTGCAATCGGTTGCCAGCCGAGGGATTCAAGAGACCAGTCCCGTGGGATGATCCAGGAAGCGAACAGCACGAGGAACCAAAGCTTCGCACTGAAGAAATGCCAAAGGGTTCCCTACATTACAGTTACCTCAGATACCTCACGTCTGCAGTGAGGCAACGCTCCTGCTCGGTCAAAGATCACGGCCTTCCGGGCAGGTGCCAATAGAGCTTCGTCGCACGGCCAAAAGCTGCCAAGCACGCTTGGCGTGGCACACCTGCCAAGCCTGCAGCTTAACCTCGCACGCAAGTGCGTGATCTCAGTTGTCTGGCGTTGCGCTTTCACATCTTTACTCTTCAACATCCTTTCTGCCTAATTAAGGTTTTGGAAGTCAATCTGAATGGCTTGCTTGGGAAGCTTACGCCCTGTTTTGGATCAGGACCTCGGCTTCGAGGCAAATTACCTTGGCATGTTCGACCCGGGTTTTAGGTTTTAGGGTTTAGTGTCAAGTTTCTCATGCACGAGGCTCTTTTAGAACAAATTCAAAACCCAAAACCCACAAAGTGCTAGTACAGGGACAGAGCATGTGTCGACCTTGAACATATCTGGCTCCACCCTACGAAACATCCCGGAGCTGACTTATGACTTCCCGAAGGAGCGAGGGCGGAGAAGGGCACGCTCACATCTCCTGCCATCTTTCGCAAGACCTCTGCAACTCGGCCCTCAAAGAGAGCCCTCCAAGCCATGGGGCGAAATCAAGGCCTCGTCATCCTCTCTCCAGACAAGCGGTACCTCTACGTCCTCACTCATCCCCCTGCGTGCCTTGCGTGCCTTGCGTGCCTTGCCCTGTACGAGTCTCACGAGTCTCAGTCTTCAGGCTGGGCGCATTCGACATCCGATCTGCCGTCGCAACCACTTCCCGGACGGAGTTCATGAGCGTGGCAAGACGTGGCGAGCAGCGGTCTACCGAAGCCCTTTTCACCTCAAGTTCTCTCGATTGCTCGCGTAAACGGATCCTTCTTGCGGTCGCTAGAAGAAGAGAAGCACCCCATTTCCCCAACCCTTGCAGGTAGACCGTGGCTGAAATGCGTTCACTGAACCTGGAGAAGAGATTGTGCATGCAGGCCCTCCGGCTCCGTCTACTCGCACTCCACCAGGCTGCCGATTGCTTCCCATCTTCCTTCTATGACAACTGCATGACCTTTCCCTCGAAAGTCGCAGGTGTCATGGCAGTTGGTTCTGTGCCGGCATCCCGGCGCCAGACGAGTTGAGCGGCAAAAAAAGCGTGCTGGAAGGGGCCCGGGCCGCATAACAGCATGGTCCGTGAACACAAGACGTGGAAGCTTGGAGGGTCTCTGGCGCTCTGGGCCCGACTGCAACGCACCACCCCGATCGCCGCCCACTTCATCCGGCACGGTCGCGACAGCCCAGGCAACCGAAGTTTCGGCCGCGAAGATCGGAGATGTCCCAGAGTCCCAATACTTGCGGGTATGTCAAAAAGCTTTGCTACGGCCTGTTCTCTGCGGATGCAGCCATCACTCTGCGCGCCTCCACGCCTTAAAGCTCTGCGCGATGTCCAGACCCGAGCTCTGGAAGGCCATCCTACCCCAAACACCTTCCTTAACACAGTAGCCCTGAAGAGCAGACGATTTCTCGGGAGCCTGGCCTTGACTGTGGGTCCGCTCTCCTTTATGGTCTCCTGTCGAGCTAAACTGCGGCTGCAAATCAAAGTAGATGCTTTCTGGGACGAGGCGCAAAACGGGCGGCAACATTTAAGCCTGCAGGGAACACCACAATTGCCGGGCACAGTGCGAGGCAGTTGTTCGAGATGCACGGTGCCCTCTTCTCGCGCAAAGAGGTTTTCTACAGCAAACTACGCCGCGCCCGGCTTCTTCGTTTTGGCTTTGCTCTCCCATGGAAGCATGCATGTAGAAGTTGGCGAGCCGGGAGCTGCTCATGCTTCACGCTGCCCAGGAAAGCACAACATTTCCAACTGAAGGACTGAGGCCTTCCAAGCGATCTTCCGGATTGCCGGAGTCACGTGGATCCGATCACCATCTACAACAAGCTGGTGGATGCCTTTCATGTTTGTTTCATCGAGTGGGTGTTTCAGCGTCGAAGCTTCTCAAAGCGGCTCCTCTTCGGTTTCTGCGCTCGCTCAAGAAGGACGGTGAATTGCACTGCTCGGATCCATAGAAAGCCTGGCGAAACGGAGAGTGACAAGACGCCAAGATTGAGGGGCGAGAACGTCGTGGCCTCTCACAAAGAACACGGCCTAGTGACAGTGAGGGCCTAGTGATTGGTGCGCCGCGCCTCGAAGTCTTACTCCTATACCCTTTGATGCTCAGAAGCCTATAGGGCCTACAGTGCCTTTCCCGAGAGCTCTCTCAGTCTCAGTTCCCGGCCCTGCCTTCTCGGCAAAGCCGCTGCTGTGCAGGCGAGCGCAGTTCCGTTGCACCAGCGGAGCATGACAGGCAGGACAGCTAAGAAGGGCCGGGAGGGGCTTTTTCGAACGAGTGAGCTTGGGGCTTTGGGGATCAACAGATGGGAAACAACGCCGAACGCCATTTCGACTTAGACGATCCATCTAGCAAGATTAAATGTAGATTCGGCATTCGATGCTTGCTGAAAGCTGCACTCATGTTCGACAAGGTTGCTCATGACTCTGCCTGGCAAGTTTCTTCTTGGAGTGCAACACCCAGTGATCGCTTGGTGTTTTCGGCCACAAGCGAACTGGTCTTCGTGAGGCCTTGCGAGCTTCAGGGACAAGGGCGATATTAACAGTTCGAAAAGCAACTTCGACTTTGCAGAAGCATGAGGTCGACACGCAAGCCTTCCCAAACCGCCAACAGCAGCAGCACCACCACCACCACCACCATCCACATCATCAGCAGCACCGTCGTCATCATCGCTTCGGTCAAGCTACCGAGCGCAAGTCTCCAAAAGCGTTTTCGTGTGGCTTTCTCCTTTTGCGTGGAAAAGCGCGGATGTGGAAGGCGAAAAAGACGCTCGGACAGAGCCTTCGTTTTACTNNGCTGCTAGGAGTGAAAACGACTAGCAAGTGGCTTGGGGCTCTAAACACTTCCCTGAGAGCTGAAGTCTCCTCAAGTACAACCACACTCCCAAGAAACGTCCCTTTCGGGCTTGGAAAACACTCTTCACCTCCTAACTCTCGGCAAAAGGAGGAAAACACGGGAAACTACTTCTTCAAAGTTCAAAGTTCAAACTACACTCCAAGTGCAGCCAAGCGTGTCAATGGCACGTGCTTCCTAAGGAAACAAAAAGTTGGCTGGGCGCCAACAGGAAGATAAAAAGTTCTTCTTCACAGCAACTTGAAGTCTGGATGTGGATCACGTGTTGCTGATTTTGTTCCGCGACAAAATTGTTTCACAACAGGCTCCGCATTGTGGAATACGAGTCTGTGCGGAAAAAACAGCACGGACACAAATATGTTGGAATCGGTCATGTGATACCGACGCAATTCTGTGTGGACAAACTCGTGTCCTGGCTGGAAACCTCAGGATGACATGGTTTTCTTGTGAACTCTTACACACATGCAACCTGGACTATGAAAAAACAGAATTCCATTTCCTTTTGAAGGACCTAAGACAAAACCAAAGGTAGCAATTGGAGTCGACAAAGACGAGAAAACTTTGGAATCAAAGGATGCAAAACATACATGTGCACACACTGTCAAAACTTCGAAAAACTGAGCTTTTCAAACAGTCTGCACAGCATACAACTTTTGCAATCGAACTTCGTGCCCATGCGCGGGGGAT